GGACTGGGCACAGAGCCCCTTAACCTGCCAAAGTCGATGTGAACGCTGCAGGAGCCTTCACTTTGGCTGGGAAGGTTTTCCATGACCCAAACCCACCCTAACCCCACCAACTGCACACCTCTCCTGTGCCAGGCAAGATCTCCAACTCTGCCTCTCAACAAGCTCTGTTTCTCTCTGGGCCACTCCAGTTTCTGTAGCATTTTTAGCACTGTGACGTGCTGTCTTCTGCGCTGTAACACATTGTACTCCGCTCGCGTATCCCGCTCCTTCTGCTCTGCTCTGTGAATTCTGCCACTGAAACAGTGCTATAAAAACTATGCAGTGAATTCTGCACAAAGACCTCCCCCACTCCCTTCCCCACCTTGCCAGGCTAGCTCCATTTTTAGCAATCACTAGTCATCTAGATGCACTGAATAAAAGATAGCTACCTGTCTTCAGTGAGCAATTCTGTCTGCTCCCAAGGGGTTGCTGAAGGTGGGATTCACTGTATTTCCTGCTGGAACCACAGCTCTCAAGGTCACATCCTTTCCAAGCTGTGCTGGTCAAGCTTTGCCTGCACAAAAGGATGTGCTGTTGCTGAACAGCCTAAGGAATTTTTTGATATATTACAGAAATAATCTCCATGCCTTTCCTGGTTTCCATCTCAAAAGACACTGGTTTCTTACAGCCTGAACTAATATTAGCATGTTTCATTACATTTTTTAAAAGGACTCAGATAAAAAGAGGCCTGAAGATAATCTGTTATAAAAGAGTCTAGAAGTCTCTTGGCTTTGAAAGTCCAACAAGAAACATTCAGGGAATAGCTGCAATGTGAATCTCCTGAATGGGGCATTGAGGAATCAAGTCTTTTGGTCATTCTTGAATGTTGATGGATAATTTCTGGTGAAGGGAAGTGAATTTTCATGTGGTCACAACCCAGGCTAGTATTTTCTCCTGCTTCCTGTTAATTATTGTTCCACAGCAAAGCAGAGAGGGGCAGGCAGCTTCCCCAGCCTAAGTCCCAGTGTTGGATTACACCAGCCCAGGGGCAGAGCTGGTACAGAAGGAAGCCAAGAGGTGCAAGATGCCCCTGCAGGTGGCACTTATGCCAGGCTGTGTCCTGCTCCTGGCCAGGGCACAACAGGGCAGGGCTCAGGCAGCACTGCCCTCACCAAGGAGAAGAGAGCTGAGATAGAAACAACAAGATGCTTCCTCACTGGACCTGCACACTCATCTCAGATAATACCAGAACAATCCTCCAAGTCTTTGTTAGTCACCACCTGCTGTGCTTTTCTAAGGTAAGAATCACCTGATCTCTCCAGAACTTAATCATCTCAGCAGTAGCCAGCAAGAACAAAAACCCTATGAGTACCACTCACTAGGCACTATGGCAGCTAGCAGGCTTTTGTTCCAGGTCCATTTTTATCTTTCTGCTCCATTTTCAGGAAGAAAAGTGTTTGGCAGGAACAAGTTACATGCAAGTCCAGAATCTACTGCTTTTTGAATGCTGTACATGGTCTCGTGCAGCTGCAGCAAAACCCAGCCAAAACAAGATGTAGATGGTGCAAGAGCCAGGATGGAGCTGAGATTCTGCTGAATCTCACAGGGCTGTTTGTGAGTTATTCCTATATTGGGAATTGTATCCTTGCAGCAATCCTGGTGTCCTGAGACTACCCCACAGGCACTTACTACAGCGGGCAACTGTTTCCTCAAGTGAAGCTTTAAGAATAGACAAAGAAGAAAATATTCACTGCTGTAGGATTTGTAACCAGTGCTAAGATTGTTCTGGATGAATTATGAATGGGAACATCTGTGTATGTGAAAGCACAACCAACCTGGCTGCAGCAGATCTGTTCTCCAATGAAAGGGGAAGAACAGACAATAAGGTTAGAGAGCACATCACTTCCATAGCCTGTTTGAGGGCAGACTGTAGCCATAGAAAGATCCCCCCAAAAAAGGGAACAAAAAGGTGGCAGTGCTGCTTGAGATCAACAGAGATGAAAAAGAGCAAGACCCTGAGGTGAAAGATCACTCTAAAACAGCAGGTAAGTCCTAGAAAGTGTAAGAAAAACACAGTCCAAGAGCCAGTCTGCTGTGAAGAACAACTCAGCAGACACAGCGAGGGATTGACAGATGGTGTCCCATGCCCTCCCTGCAGCACACAACCCAGCCTGGCTCCAGCACCTGGATTCACCAGGCTTGGTGCCCACATGGGGTGGTGAGAGCATGAGGGAATGAAACCTGGACATGGGAATGACTGAAAACAGTTTTGTTCATGGTAAGTATTTACTTCTCCTTCTACAAAGTCTCACATGGAGTTTTATTATATTCATTTCCTATACTAGTGCACAACCACTGTGCAATAGAAAATCTGGATAAGAAGGTTGGAGGACTTCTTGTCTGACAAAAATTTACATGAAGCAGTGTGTTCACAATGTCAGCGTTTCCTGGCATGCTATATGAGCTTTAATTCCAGGAGATGCATCATTTAGCCCAGCTACTCTCCAGTATACTTCATTTTCAGGTAAAGGGAGTATTCAAAACAAAGCCAAGCACACCTCAGAGGTATTCCCCTACATAATAAGCCTCTCCATGAAAAAAAAATCTGGATTTTATGCATGCTGGTATTCACATGGAAGCAGCATTGCTCAAAACCACGCACCTCAGAACATTCTTAAACCGTGATACCTTGCACTAGCACAGTGCAGCTCCCTGCAACAAACATGAAAATGCAGTCAGTGAGCAACACTTTCTAAAAAGCAGTTTGTATGGCTGAGGTATTTAGGCCTGCTGCAGCAAAGTTTCACCAATCTTTGATCACTTCAGCATGCCACCTTTGGAAGTTGTCCTGTTAGTCCTTAAATTGATAAGGATTATAAGAACACATGGAAGTTGAGAGGTTGTGAATCCATCTTTTTCCAGGTGTGGACACGGCAAAGGGATGCATGGGTGGAAAGAGCTAGAACAGCATTGCCTTGCTGAAAACCAGGGGTTTGACAGTCACTGCTGAAAACTCTCTGACCTGGGAGAATCTTTCTTTTATTAGAAAGAAAATCAACTTGCTTCAGCTAACAGAGACATATGAATCTTCATTCTGCCTCCCTGGCAAGACAGCTACAGCAAACGAGAGAGGTCAAGAGAAATCTGATTTAGGAGAACACATTTCTGTTCCTCGAAGCTATTCCCCAAACAATTCCATTATTTGCTGCAGGAAAAGAAAGCAGAGAAACTCCCCTCCCACCATGTTTCAAGAGAATTGAGCCCTCTTAGCTCTTTGTACTCTCAGCCCTGTTTGCTTATCACTTGTGGCTCAGACAGATAGCTGCAATTCCCACGGGGCTCCCAGAGGAGATTAATTATCCCACCCAGGAACAAAGCATCCAGGAACAACTTAATCACACTCTTCAGAGAAAGGAAGAAACCACCCCATCCCTGGCTGAGGTGCTGGCAAGGATGATCTGGCAGGGCTCAAGGCTGGAATACCAAACCTTAGGCTCGTTCTAATAAAGACAATTGCATTGCAAGACAGGCTTTTCCTTTTTCTGTCCAGCTGGTAGCTACATGTCACCTGCCCTCAGGGTGAGACAGCACTGGTAGGGGTGCAGTATTTTGTTGGCAGAAATACTCCTCTTCCACAAAAGCAGCTGATGGAAGCAGTGAGAGGACACAGACCATCCAGGGAACTACACCCCTTCCCAGGAGGATAAGCTATGTAAATATAAAAAAGAAAGAATTTTGCCCTGCATGAAAGCAGATTCTTACTCCTCATTGCCCAGGGAATGAACTTAATCACTAATCCTCTGCATCTAGTAGCGGAGGCAGAACTCCAAGCCACAGGACTGTGCTGGTGTAGCAGGAAAATTTCCCTGGAGACAGCAGCTCACAGAAGAGATAAGGTACATCACAGCTTTGGAGTGACAAGATTGCTATCGCAGTCTGTGCCTCATTACTATTTTGAACCTTCAGCACAGATCTATGATGCCTTTCCAGGATTAGCCTACTTCTAAAGCTAAAGAAAGTCTCTCTTAATTTACAGCCTGTTACTTATTTAACACCAGAATCACATTAATTGAGAGTGCCTTTGGACTATCTCAGCATTTTAGCTGTACAGTGTACTTGGAATACCACACAGGACTCGAGAGAGCATACAGAGTGATGCCAAGTGTAATCCTTGGCTTGAACAGGACACCTTTTAGGTATAGAAACATTGTGGCCACACACCTAGAAAGCACAAAATCAGATGGTATGTACTGCCTTCTTCTTTAAACACTGTGGGTTTTTTGCTTCCAAAGATTCCCATGAATAGTCATCTTAGTAAAATAATTAAATTTCCATATATGGCTTCAAGTAATGGAAATACAAAAACCAGAATTGGAGACAAGTCAGGTCTCAAAGTTCTGGCCTAAATATCCCCTGCTTTGCACTCTGGTATAAAGTCTAAATGCAAGCATGTTGTAACTTCTCTTGGAGTCAAAAATCTTTTCTGAAACACATTCTCTTAGGACACTAACTCAGATGAAACAAAATTAAGTTTTTTTCCGAAGTACACACAGGCTCTAGAATATATATTTTGATACCAGAATTTTGTCATGTTATCATGTATTTTATTACTTTCACCCTTTTCAGTACCTTGAAACTTCCTTCTGCCCCAAACCAAAGGGCTATTTTGAAACAGGGGAAATGGAAAACTATTGTGCAACATTAGAAACTACTGGCTTATAATTTACGAGCAGTAATGAGCCTCTGCTATTGACCCTGAATTACTCATCCAAAGGCAAAGTGGTTAAAAGTAATGGGTATCTGCTTCAGCTCAGAGTAATGAGGACACTAAAAAAAGTATATAAACAGTCAAGTATGTGCCAGCTATGCAGACAGAGAGATCTGCTCTAATTGCATGGGCAGTACACCTGCAGCACAGGCAAGTCAGAAAAACACATCGTCCATCATGCTGCAGGAAAATTAACAGGTTCAGGGACAGTGCATCCCACGAGTGATTACCCAGCTCCTTTCTGATGACTTACTTTCCCTCTGACCCATAGCTGTTCATGCTGTCCTCGATGGACTCGTGGCTGGCCTGGCGCACGGTCCTGCTGGGCATTTCCACAGCCAGGCCGGTCTCTGTGCTCCTCTGGATGGCTCCCTTCAGCCTCCGGCCATCACCATCTGGGAACACAAGGGGAGAAAAGGCAGTCAGCCTCTATTCCCAGAGCCTTCTGCACTCACAGGGCCAAAGAGAAGTAGAGGAGGTATTTTGGAAGACCAGCCTTTATTATACAGGAAATACATTTCTTTATTCCTTTATTATAAAATATATATATATATATATATATATATATATATTATAAACATATAAATTATAATAAATTCCTTCATTATAAAATGTAAAATTCCTTTATTACAAAGGAAATTTCCCTTACCCAGCCCTGCTTCATCATCAGCTCCCGAGTCACCTCTGGAACACACTCACTGCTCCACCATGCCAGGCCCAGCAGATACTCAGAGCATGCACACCCTCCCTACCTGCTCCAACCATTTGAACCAATTAATTATCCATTGAGAAGGCAGCCACACCAGCTGGCTACACCCAGAGCTACCCAGTCAGGGAACACAGCAGCAGCAACCACGGACGGGCACAGCTGATGCCTCCAAGCCTCTCCCAAATCCCACGTTGCTGACTCAGGTTGTGTGGAACAGCACAAAGAGTGGCAGGTCCTGGTGGGCATCGAGGGCACAAAAAGGCCAGGCAGCACCAGAGATGCTGTCAAAGCAGGAGCCCTCCCAGACCTGCCACAGGGGAATATTGGGCACAGCTGAAATGTTCCCTGGTGGCACCAGCATGGAAAGCCCTGGAGAGGACTATTCCCCTTGACAGACGCCCTCAGCCACAGCATAGAGGGAATTAAGTAGGTTCTGGTTCCTCCTGGGTGCAGTCTTCAGAGGCTCAGCCCTCTGAAATTAACAGCTGCTATTTTCATCCTCCATCTCAAGCAGTCTGTTTCTCAGAACAAACCATGTTATGTAATGAATATGTAATGAATACCATTACTATTAATTGCTGTAGCTGGTGTTAGGAAGCTCCAGATTTCATCCCACATAGAGCACTCATCCTAAAACACATCTGCTACAAGTTTTCTGAACAAAGCAAAATTATCTAAATCCTCTAAAGATGCTCAGTCATTACCCTGGATTCAGGCAACAAACCTCTGACCCACAGTGCTCTCAGAAACCTTCCGACTTTTTTGAGTACCACCTCCAGAGGAGAAATGACCCAGCTATTGAGTCTGGAGAACTCAGGATCGCCAAATATTAAAGAAAGCAAATCTTTCAAAGAACCACAGGATGGGTGAGGTTGGAAGGGACCACAGTGGGTCATCTGATGCATCCTCCCTGCTGGAACAGGGTCATCCTAGAGCACACTGCACAGGATTGCATCAAGACAGTTCTTGAATATCTCCAGTGAGGGAGACTCCACAACTTTCTGGGCAACCTCTTCCAGTGCACCCACACAGTGAAGTTCTTCCTCATATTCAGGTGGAACTTCTGGTGAATCACTTTCTGAACTACTTTGGAAATATGAGGGTATCTGTAATAACCTGCCTAAAATACACTGTTATTTGTAGCAGGCTGCTTGACCTAAAATACTTTTCTTTAGATCTTGGTGGGAAGAGGGACTTTGGAAAAAAAATTCCGTAACATATCAGAAATGCTTCCTATCTCACTTCTCCAATTATATCTACATGGAAATGGAAAGACAAAAATTCTCCTATCAATACAGCTGTGAAGTACCTTTTTCTCTACTATCATGATGTTTCCAACTGGGTAAATGTGCTGGCCCCAGGGCTCTGTACCAGCTGCTGTCCTCACATATGGTGCAGCCTGTGTACACATGTCCCTCAGAGCTGAGGGGATCGAATTTCCACATTCTGGGTTAACATTAACTACAGTTTGTACTGTTTGTGTGCCTAGAGCAATGCATGAAGCACATTGTATAAATCAGGAAGTCACACAAATGTAAAACATATTTCTCATGTGCTTTCAAAACCCAAACCTTCAGGCAAGAATATCAATATGGGCATCAACAAAAGCGAAGCTTTGTGAAATGGCCATGCTTGTTCTCCCCATCAGTGCAGAGCAGCTCCCTTTGATTCACCCTCCTTAGCCTTGTGCAGCTCACTGGAGCCTCTGATGCCATTTGTAGGTTCCTCTGAGGGCACATCCCACAGCCATGTGGGCAGGCTTGATGGTCCATTTCACTTGTCTTGCATTCACCTCCACAAACAATCTCTGAGTCATCCACATGCACCAGTGCCCATCCTTCCTCCTCGTGTGCACTCAGAGCACTCATCCTCCTGCCCTTTGAGGTTACTCCTCACAAGAGCTCTGCTGGCAGCCAGAGTCAAAGCATCAAATGACATAAATGTAGGAAACAAATTAAAAATGCCCCATTGCCCAGCCAAGCAACATCTGCTTAAAAAAATCTCTTCTTTCCCCAGTCTAATGAGATGTGCCTGGAGACACTCAAAATTAAAAGACTATTCATCCACAGCTGGAAACAAACGAGAGGCTTGGGACAGAGCATGGGTTTGGAGCAATACAAGGTGCTTGCTCTATTCTATCAACTATCTCCTGATTGAAAGCCAGGGAAATAAAGCAGAAGGGCTCAAAGGCAAGGAAAGGCAGCACTGTGGGAGCACCAGGGCACTGTACCAGAGATTTAGCTGGCACAGAGCAAGTTCAGCTGTAGAGCACCACATGCACAGCTTTCCACTGCTGGGTGGGTCATTTTCTAGTAGTCCTGATTGCTTTTGCAGATTGGGGGAAAAAAAAAAAAAAGGAAAAAATGACAAAAGTTTAACCGAGAATCTCTGTAAAACAAGACAATGGGAATAAAGGACAAAAATCTTTTGTTCCTTCCTCTTCTTCCAGACAGGGATGCAGAGCAACTCCTGCATCTTACAAATTATCTCTCATTATTCTGGAGAAAGGTTGGAGAAACCTTTCTCCCCCTACAGTCTCTTTTTGTTGAAAGTTTCCTTTAAACAGAAGGAGAATAATTTTTTTTGTCAAAAAGGCAAGCTCCCAAACCACAGTAGCCAGAGGCATGACTGAAGCAGGGTAAGAGATCACCATATGCACTAGATATCAGAAAGGAGATACAGGTTCCTAAACTATCCATCCCCATCAGCTGGGAGAGGAGGACAGATCAGGGATAGCACACCTGGAAAGGAAATAAATATGGATGACACTGCACTTCTCATCAGTGAGCCAAAAATATTTCACAAGCAACAGTCACCTAGCATCAACCTTCTCTGGTCAGTGTGGAGCATGGCATAGGGGCTGTGCCTCCTCCCCTTCCTGAAATCTTTGTGCTTTGACACCTTTGCCAATCAGAAGGTAAATGAGATGCATCTATGTGGGTGTTGCCTGGCAAAATCATTTGTCTTAATTTGTCAGTGGTATCTGAAACAAGTAAGAGCAGTATCGACATTTTCTGCAGCGTCACCAGATTTATTCCCTGCACCTCTTCCAATTAAGCAGCAAACAACAGAGTTTAAGCAGTCAGTCAAGGCTGCAGTGCAACACCTCACAAAGGGAGGATTTCAGTTCGGGATGACCTTGGGGAGATGAAGTTTTTTGGTCAAATATGCAGGATGAAGATACACAGCACCTCACTGACGCCAACAACCAGAAGGGCCCAGGAGTCACTCTGCCAAGCTCTCAGTGTTGACAGGTGCTTTGATTTTGCTCTGCTCAGCCAAACAATTTATGTTTGGCTAAAGAATATCTTCTAAAGCACTATCCACTCTGGGTGTGAAGAATATCAAGAGATGAAGAATCTGCCATTTGCCTGCACAGTTTATTTTACTACCTGACATTTAGAGATGTGGCTTAAGTTTGCCTGGTTTCAGCTTTCACACATCAGGTTTTTTTAGTGCCCTTCTCCACCCCAAGAGCTGCTTTGTGTTCTCACTATACAGACTTTTCTGCAGTGCAGATGAGTTATCTCTCAATCTTATTTTGACAAGTTAAACAGACTGAGAACTCTATGTCTCTCATGCTCTGGCATTTTTTTTTTTCTCCTGGCCTTGAATCTTTCTAACAACCTCCCCAGGTTTTAAACGCCCTTTTGAGAACAGAACTGAAGTCTGCATTTAAGGGCAGAAACACACAGAGGTAAAAATCAGCTTGTGCTCTCCTCCTCAGTACTTCTGCTGGCATCTCCCAAGACCACAGTAAGCTCCTGGAGGAGACACCTCATCTGGAGGCTCTGCAGTCCCTTGCCTGTCCTGATGGCACCACCTTGCAGAACATTATAATAAAAAATATGTAACAAAACAAATTTTATTTGAAGAGAAAGCAAGCAAAACTCCAGACAGCTTTATAGAGCTCTTCCACACTCAATACTATTTACTCTCTTTCTAATGTCCACATCGCCTGTGAATTAAGTGAGGTTTAAACTCATGCTTGCTCCAAATCAAATGAAATCACTGAGCATCACCAGGCCTTCAAGAGAGGCCTCCTGCCTTTGAGGCTTTTCCTTGACAATTGCTTTTTGATCATGAAACAAGGTTTTAATCCACTTATCACAATCACATTTTTAGGGCCATGTTGTTCTAGGACCAAGCCCTAACATACTTACCATGCTTACCCAGTATCTGTGTCTTCTAAAACTTGGCAAAAAAAGAATTTCTCACAAGACCCATTTTCCCTACATTCTTCTTGATTGATGTTAATTATATTCCATCATTTTATTCATTATTAATTAGATCTCATTATCATATTTCCTGTCATTTTGAGTGATGTCAGACCAGCCAACCAGAAGCTCCTTCCAGGCAGCCCAGTACCAAATGAAGAGGAGCAAGGTGACTGTGCAGGTGCCCCATGCAGAGCAGAGCACCTTCTGGAGAGCTCCCTTAACTAAACTCTCAGCTGCCAACCAAGAGGCAGCTCTTCTCAAGGATGGTGCCACTCCTGTGGAAGAGCTGCCACCAAGAACTGGATTTGCCTGAAATTATGGGGTGGGAAAAATAAGAGCGGTGCTGCTCCCTTTTCTCCCCCAAGGAAAGAGTAACCACTCTTCATGTCCTCTTCTACATCACTCCCACACACAACTCTTTGAAGCTCTTCCTCTCTGCTGCTGACAGGGCTCTCCATGCTCAGAG